ACTCGAGGTAGATCTGCTGGCGTCCGCAGACCTTGAAGTCCCCTTCTATTTTTCTTATTTCACTGTTTCTTTTCTTTCAAACAGTTATATTTCTTTCAGAATCTATTTGTGTTAAATTCTAGAAGCTCGTGAGTTGTGATTCTAGATCCGATTGGTAGTAGATATTATGAGTAATTATGTTATCCTGCACTCAGCTTTAATTCATTTTGACTTAATTGACTTTATTTATTGAAATTGAATGAAAATTGACTTTACGGTTCTCTAACATTGGCTTTCCAAGCGAGTGATATGTTAGGCGCCATCACGGTCCCGAAGGTGGGAATTTTGGGTCGTGACAAGGATGTATCAGAGCACTAGGTTGCCTCGGTCTCACAATTCACGATCAGGCTTAATAAAGTCTGGAGGATCGGTACGGAGACGTGTGTACTTATCTTCTAGAGGCTATGAAGTTTAGGAACATGTTTCACTTCTATTCTTCGCTATCATGCGATTTTTATCTCTCATTGCTAATTGAACTCTTCTACTCTTGTTCTCTCACAGATGGTGAGAACACGTGCTGCATCTTCAGCTGAGCAGCAACCAGAGCCCCCAGTGGCAGCTCCTATGAGGGGCAGAGGTCGAGGCCGAGGTCGTGCCAGAGGCCGAGGCAAGGGCAGAGCTTAGCCTAGAGCTCGAGCAGCAGCACTAGCAGTGGAGCCTCAGGTGGAGTTTGATGAGGAGGTTCCTGCCCAGACTGTGCCTGTTGGACCAACTTAGGTCCCCGAGGGGTTCATCGCCACCCCAGTGCTTTAGGACGCTCTAGTCCGTTTAGTCCTTATGGAGAGTGTGGCCCAGGCCGATACATTTCCTATGGCACCAGCTGTCTCTTAGGCTGGGGGAGGAGCATCGACTCCCGCTCTCACACTCTGGAGTAGGTGGCTTCCCAGTATTAGACTCCAGCAGCTCAGCCAGTTAGGGTAGTTCAGCCGGTTGTTGCAGCAAAGGGTGGTGACGGACAAGCTATGTCTTCTGGGGGATTATTGAGATTGGACAAGTTCACCAAGCTCTTTACAGTTCATTTCAGTGGTGCACCTTGTGAGGACCCACATGATTTCTTGACCGCTGCCATGAGGTGCTGCGGAACATGGGGATAGTTGAGACCGATGGGGTCGATTTTGCTGCGTTCCAGATGATGGGTTCCGCCAAGAGATGGTGGAAGGACTTTGTATATACCAGACCATCTTGGGTCGCCTGCTCTTATTTGGGACCAGTTCTCTCAGATATTTCTTGAGAAGTTCCTTCCTGTTACATTGAGAGAGGATTACCGTAGGTAGTTTGAACGTCTTCAGCAGGGCAGCATGTCTGTCACTTAGTATGAGACCCAATTTTTGGATCTGTCTCGTCATGCTATTCTTCTGCTTCCTATCGAGAGAGAGAGAGAGAGAGAGAGGGTGAGGAGTTTTATTGAGGTACTTGCTCAGCCTATCAAGTTTCAGATGGCCAAGGAGACCGGGAGTGAGATTTCTTTTCAGACGGCTACCAATATTGCCAAGCGAGCCGAGATAGTTCTTGCACATGGGGGAGGTCAGGGGTCTGATAAGAGGCCTCATCATTCTGGTGGATCCAGTGGTGCCTCATCTGGAGGCAGGGGTACTTTTGGTAGGGGCCATCCTCCCATGCCATTTCATTCAGCGCTCCAGGCATCCCACGGTGCTTCAGGTGGTCGTAACCCTCATATGCCTTATTCAGACCAGCTAGCCTAAAGTGAACCACCAACTTCCATTAGTGCACCTCCGCACCAGAGTTTCTAGGGTGGTTACTCAGGCTGACAAGGTCAGTTTCAGGGTCAGCAGTCACAGCAGCCGAGGTCCTCTTATACTTGTGGTGACCCGAGGCACATTGCTACATTTTTCCCTTGACCATCGAGCAATTCCCAGCATCAGGGTTCTCGTGCCATGGTCCCGGCACCGGGTGCTTCACCGCCTGCTCAACTAGCTAGAGGTAGGGGTCAGGCAATTAGAGCTGGAGGTCAGGCCATTAGAGGTGGAGGTCAGGCCGCTAGAGGTGGATGACTAACCAACTAGGGACCGCTCTCGAGATGTAGTTCAGAGTGGTGGGGCCCAGCCCTATGTTATGCTTGTCCAGTCAGGCCTGAGGCTGAGTCATCTGACGCTGTTATCACAGATACTGTTTCAGTTTGCAGTAGAGATGCTTCCGTTCTATTTGATCTGGGTTCTACTTATTCCTACGTGTCATCCTATTTTGCTTTATATTTGGTTGTGCCTCGTGATTCTTTGAGTGCTCCTGTGTATGTGTGCACACCTGTGAGAGATGCTATTATTGTAAATCATGTTTATCGTTCGTGTGGGGTTACCATTGGGAGCCTTGAGACTAGCGTAGATCTTCTACTTCTCGATATGGTAGATTTGATGTCATCTTGTGTATGGATTGGCTGTCACCTTATCACGTTATATTGGATTGTTACGCCAAGACGGTGACCTTAGTCTTGCTGGGGTTGCCTCGATTAGAGTGGAGAGAGACTCCTGACCATTCTACCAGTAGGGTTAACTCTTGCGTGAAGGCTCGGCGTATAGTTGAGAAGGGATGTCTAGCTTATTTGGCTTATGTCTGCGAGTCTAGTGTAGAGGTTCCTTCCATGGACTCAGTACCAGTTGTTCGTGATTTTCCAGAGGTGTTTCCTATAGACCTGCCGGGGATGCCACCCGACAGGGATATTGACTTCTGTATTGATTTGGCTCCGGGCACTCAGCCCATTTCTATTCCGCCTTATCGCATGGTCCCGCCAGAGTTGAAAGAATTGAAGGAGCAGTTGCAAGATTTGCTTGATAAGGGCTTCATTAGACCTAGTGTCTCGCCCTGAGGTGCGCCGGTGTTATTTGTGAAGAAGAAAAATAGGTCAATGAGGATGTGCATAGGCTATCAGACAAAGTCACCATCAAGAACAAGTATCCATTTCCGAGGATTGATGACTTATTTGATCAGCTTTAGGGTGCCAAGGTATTTTCAAAGATCTATTTGAGGTCTGGCTACCGTAAGTTTAGGATTAGGGCATTCGATGTTCCTAAGATAGCTTTTTGGACTCGATATGGGCATTATGAGTTTCTAGTGATGTCATTTGGGCTGACAAATGCCCCAGTAACATTCATGGATTTGATGAACCGGGTGTTCAAGCCTTATCTGGATTCCTTTGTGATTGTGTTTATTGATGATATCTTGGTCTACCCTCGCAGTTGAGAGGAGAATGAGAAACATCTTCGGATCATACTTCAGACTCTGAGAGACAACCAGTTATATGCTAAGTTTTTGAAATGCGAGTTTTGGTTGGACTCAGTCACCTTCTTGGCGCATGTTGTATCAGCAGAGGGTATTCAGGTGAATCCTAAGAAAATTGAGGCAGTTCAGAACTGGCCTAGGCCCACTTCAGCTATAGAGATACTGAGTTTTATGGGTTTGGCAGGTTATTATCGTTGGTTTGTGGAGGGGTTCTCATCTGTAGTAGCCCCGTTGACCAGGTTGACCCAGAAGGGTGCCCTGTTTAGATGGTCAGATGAGTGTGAGGCGAGCTTTTAGAAGCTCAAGACTGCTTTGACTAAGGTGCCAGTGTTGGTGTTGCCCATAGGTTCAGGGTCTTATACAATATATTGTGATGCATCTAGTATTGGACTTGGTGAGATATTAATGCAGGATGGCAGGGTGATTGCATATGCGTCGCGCAGTTGAAGGTTCACAAGAAGAATTACCCTGTTCATGACTTAGAGTTGGCAGCCATTGTTCATGCACTGAAGATTTGGAGGCACTATTGTTACGGTGGTCGTGTGAGGTATTTACGGATCATCGAAGCTTGCAGTATTTGTTCAAACAAAAGGAGCTCAATTTGAGGTAGAGAAGGTGGTTGGAGCTATTGGAAGACTATGATATCACCATCTTGTATCATCCCGGAAAGGTCAATGTGGTGGCCAATGCTTTGAGTAGAAAGTCAGTGAGTATGGGCAGCCTTGCGTTCATTCCATTCGGTAAGAGACCGCTTGCATTAAATGTTCATGCCCTGGCCAATCAGTTCGTGAGGTTGGATGTCTCTAAGCCCAGTTGTGTTCTAGCTTGTACAGTCACTCGGTCTTCATTGTTTGAGCGCATCAGGGAGCGGCAATATGATGACCCTCATTTGCTTGTTCTTAGGGACACAGTGTGGCATGGTGATGCCAAGCAGGTTACGGTTGGAGATGATGGAGTTTTGAGGATGCAGGATCGTGTTTGTGTGCCTAATATAGATGGACTTCGTGAGTTGATTCTAGAGGAGGCCCACAGTTCCCGGTATTCTATTCATCCGAGCACCGACAAGATGTATCAGGACTTGCGACAACATTATTGGTGGAGGAGGATAAAGAAGGATATTGTTGCATATGTAGCTCGGTGTCTAAATTGTCAGCAGGTAAAGTATGAGTATTAGAGACCTGGTGGTTTGCTTCAGAAGTTAGAGATTCCTGAGTGGAAGTGGGAGCGTATCACTATGGATTTCGTTGTTGGACTCCCACATACTCAGAGGAAGTTCGATGCAATTTGGGTCAATGTGGACAGGCTGACCAAGTCAGCCATTTCATTCCTGTGGCCGTTACCTATTCTTCAGAGCGATTGGCTGAGATTTATATTCGTAAGATCGTTCATCTTCACGGCGTGCTCGTGTCTATCATTTCTGATCGAGGTACGCAATTCACCTCGCACTTCTGGAGGGAAATACAACATGGGTTGGGCACGCAAGTTGAGTTGAGCACAACATTTCATCCTCAGACGGACGGACAGTCTGAGCGCAATATTTAGATATTTTTTTTGATTAAACCTCAAATTGTATTAATCAAAAGTATATATGTACATAGCTGTGTAACTGCTGACCAGCTACAATCCAGAAAAACCCAATTGCAATTGCTTCTACTAACCTACTAGGCATTGCTGCTATTCAAAAAGAAACTAGTTAGTTCATTACATAATGAGCTAAGCAAATCTGTCTAAACTATGCAATGTCTGCTGCCACTTTGGTTATCTTCTGCCTCTTGTGTGTACTGTAGGACAATTTCTCTGCATATTCTGTGTTCCTCAAAGGCACTTTGCTGGAATCGAATCATGTTCCTCTCCCTCCATATACTGTATATGAGCATAGCAAACACATAGCTAGTGATTTCAGCTTTTCCTGTCTTCTTTCTAGCCATCCTGCTTGCCCAGGTAAGCTCCTCTGACCATCCCTTTATGCTCCTGTTCATGCCCAGCCATAATAGTAATCTGGTCTAAATTCTGCTAGTAACTGGGCACTCAAAAAATAGATGTTGTAGTGTTTTAGTAGTTGCTTTGCAAAATACACAATCCTGTGGCACCTGTATTCCAATTCTACTTAGTCTATCCACAGTAGATAATCTTTCATGTGCAGCCAACCATAGTATGAATTTGAATCTGGGATGAATTTTTGTCTGCAAAACTATGCTTCTCCAATGGACTTTCTGATACTGGGGCAACAACAAAAGATAGGTCTTCTTGATTGAGAATTGTTCCTGCAGTTGTAGTATCTTCAGTCTATTACACAAGGATCCCTGCATAGGCTGCCTCTTCAGGTCTTCCTTTGTCTCAATGATTTTCCTGATTACCCAAGCTGCATTCTTAGGTGTAGGCATGTGTTCTAAATCCTGCTTCTTGATATAGTAATTGTGGACCCATTTTATCCACAGGCAGTCCTTTTTCATTTCAACTGCCCACAATTGTTTCATCACAGCAGCCTTGTTCCAAATGCATAAGTTGATGACGTTCAAACTCCCTGCAGAAATAGGCCTACAGATCTGTTCCCAAGCTATCAGAGCTTTCTTTGTGATAGTTGCCTCTCCTATCCATAAGAAAGTTCTGAACACTGCATTTATCATCTTCATGACTTTCTTAGGGAGTATGAATATCTGAGCCCAGTATGTTTGAATGCCAAACAATACTGACTTTATCATTTGAAGCCTGCCAAAATAAGATAGTAGTCTTGCAGACCAACACCTTACTCTATCTGTTATCTTCTCAATTAGGGGCAAACATTGCTGCACAGTAAGCTTTTTGGATGATAGTGGCACTCCTAAGTATCTGAAAGGGAAAGTACCCTCTTCAAAACCCAATGTATTCAAGATAGCCTGCTTTTCATCTGCATCAACCCCTTCCATGTAAATAAAGCTTTTGTCCTTGTTTGCTTGTAATCCAGAAGCTGCAGAGAACTTCTGAAATACTCCTTGAAGTAACCTGATTGATTCAATGTCTGCCCTGCAGAACATGAGCAAATCATCTGCAAAACAAATGTGTATTATTCCCAGTTTCCTGTATCTAGGATGGAAATTAAAGTCTCTATTCTCTGGTAGTAGCATCATTTCCCTATTCAAATACTTCATAGCTATTACAAAGAGGTAGGGGGACATAGGGTCCCCTTGTCTGATTCCTCTTTGTCTTTGGAAAGGTTTGGTAAGGCCTCCATTTAGCACAAGAGAATATAAAACAGTTGTGACACATTCCATGAGTGACTTACTATGTTCCCAATCACCTTCTTAATTCTCAGTTGTAACACCTTTGCAATTATTTTGTACAAAGTGTTACAACATGCAATAGGTCTATAGTTTTTGACCAGGGATGGTGAATTTACCTTCGGAATCAAAGTGATGGCTGTACAGTTCAACTTCTTTTGTAATTTTCCTGTCTCAAAAAAACTCTGTACTACAACTTATATATCATGCTTCACTAAGTCCCAATTTCTTGTGAAGAATTCAATAGGGAACCCATCTATCCCTAGAGCTTTGTCTGTTGGCATATCTTTGATGGCTATGTCTATCTCTGCAGATGTCACTGGCCTTATCATCTCTAGTTGCTGCTCTCTGTTTAACACTGGCCCTTTTTTGATGACTACTGAGTTTGCACAGTTGATCTCTCCCCACTACAATTACCCATTATCTCTTCTTCCCACATCTCAGTACCACATGGGAATGATCAGATACTCTTGGGTTTAGGAAATCTGCCTCTATATGTCCATACTGATGTAGCCATTGAAAATTGCCCAGTGCCCAATCTATTTTGCTATATACTCTGTTTTCCACAGGTTGTTTGTTGCACCAGGTAAAGTGCCTGCCTATTGACCTTATGGGGGTCAACTGTAGGTTAGTTAGTAGGTCCTGAAAACCTTGAATTTCCCTTGCTGTAACTGGTTGCCCAATTCTATCCTCTGTGGTTAGTCCATTGTTAAAATCACCACATAGCAGCCATGTGTTACTGATTTGTGCACCCAACTGTTGTAATTCAACCCATAGATCCTCCCTTTGTTGTAATGTATTTTGAGCATATACCATAGTAATATCTGTAGTAAACTGGCTTGAACTTTCCTCCATTGAGCAATGAAAATATTGATCTTTTATTGATAGTATCTGCACATTGATACTATCCTTCCATATGAGCCAAATTCTACCATTTACTGCTGTGTTATAATTACAATATTAGTTCCACCCTCTAGCTACTTTCTGCAGAATTTTCTTTGCTTTGCCTTCCTTGACTCTAGTTTCCACACATCCTCTGAGATCTATTTTTTGTCTTTCCAGAAAGAGCTTCAACTCTTTCTGTTTTGAGAGCTTATTCAGCCCTCTAATGTTCCAAGTACACACAATCATGGGGGTTCTACCACCCTAGGCACACATACAGGCCCTCCCTCTGTAGTGCTAGGTTCCTCAATTCTTAGCACAACAAATCTGTTTGCCTTTTGCACCATCATAGGTTCACTCTGAGTAGCTTCTTGTACAATTTTGTTTTTGCCTTTTGATCTTGTGCTAGTTTGTTGCTCATTCTGCTGCATACTATGGTTCTCTGCTATACTTTGGGAGACATTATTTTGTGCCTCTACCTCTGCATTCTTAGTTTGAGTTCTATCTTGTTGCATCTCCTGATCTTTGTCTGGTACTTTTGCTTGCCAGACTGGGTTCTTCTTTCTGTTCCTTCTCCTTTTCCTCTTGGCTACTTCCCGGTAAGCTTTCTCCCTTGTTTTTGGACTAATTCTTCTGCAATTCTCTGCATCATGGCCAAATTTTATGCAATCTACACAAAACTTTGGCCTCCAGTCATTTTTCACTTGCTGTTGGAACACCCCAAAAGGTGTATCAATCTCAATACATTCTGGTAAGGGCTGAGAAATATCTGCTTCAACTAACACTCGAGCATAAGAAATCCTCTCCATTTCAGCAGTGACTTTATCTGTATACATTGGTTTCCCTACTCCACTAGCCAATTTGCTTAATGCTTCAGGAGACCAATAACCCACTGGTAAACCTGGGAACTTCACCTACAATGGAATAGTGCTAAGGCACTCTGGGTCAAAATAGAAATCAATTTCCTAGTTTTTCAGAATGAACGACTTATTGTGATACGTATATGGGCCAGCATGCAAGACCAAATCTCTATCCTCTATTGTTTGGAATTTGAAGATATAGTATCCTTCTTCATGATACAAAATCTTAGGTTTTGCAACAAAAATTCCATACCGTAGTGACATAGTTGTTCATTGATCGAGCATATGTTGTGTCTCCAAGTACATATCCTATCAATGCAGAATTCCACAGTTCCGCCTGTGATTTGATATCGTCTTCTACAATCTTCACCACCATCTTACCATCCCTCATTGATGGAGGAATATAGGTAAGCATTTTCCCCATTTGAGAAGCACGATTATTTCCCAGTCCATCACCTTGTTCAGTCTGCTTCTTCTCCGCCATAGTTCTGAGTTGCTTATCCGTCCCAATTTCAGAAAATTAGAGTCGTCGTGGCTTGGGGATTTCCTTCTTCACTTGTTCTTTACCTCCCCTTACAGGGTAATTTTGATTTGAATCATCCAATTCTGCCTCAGTTTTGCTCTCCTCTTCAATTTATTGAAACTTCGAAGGTAGGAAACTTCTAAATGTCAGTGGATATTTCCTCTATTAGATATTTCCAGTTACGGAGTTTGCCTAAACCACAGCTACTAGTCGAGCATTTAGATGGCTCCCTATGAGGCATTATACGGTAGGCGGTGTCGTTCGCCAGTTGGATAGTTCGAGCCGGGGGAGGCTCGATTGTTGGGTACAGATCTGGTACAAGATGCCTTGGATAAAATCAAGATTATTCAGGATCGACTTCGCACAGCTCAGTCCAGGCAGAAGAGTTATGCCGATCGTAGAGCTTGTGATGTTGCATTCATGGTCGGGGAGCAGGTGTTGCTCCGGGTTTCACCTATGAAGGGTGTGATGAGGTTCGGAAAGAAGGGCTGTATACGGTGAAAATTAGAGAGTCCGATTTTATGGTCATTATGACACTTCATACCGTCCCCAGAAGGCTCGAGGCTCAGCTCGAGGTTCTACCCCGAGGGTTCTCGATGTTCGACCTCGGGGCAGTACAAATCGGTGGTTATGATAGAAAAATGGGATTAAAGCTGACCAGGTCTGTTAGACTAGTACAAGCCTGTACCGTGGCATTAAATGGTTGTACCAGCAGCGTATCTTTGTAATAAATGCATCTGTACTATGTTGGGATTCCCCCTCATATATAAAGAGGACCCTTATCATTTTGTAAGGCACATGATATTCAATATAAGAACAAGAACATTCTCTGCTTCTCTAACTAAAACATATTCTCCCTTGATTTTATTGCTTATATTTATTACATTGCTTACATTTATTGCGTTTCATGATTGTTCTTCATTTATTACTCATCATTGATCATAAAGAGCCCTCATCAAAGCTTTTAGAACTGTTAGTCCTTCATCGGCTATCCACAACCTAACGCTTTAGCTCGACCTCGAGGCCCAGTATAGGCTAGCTCGAGACCCCGACTCTCGTCCACTCGGTTTGCTTGTCATACTATCTTCAAGCTCTTATCTTATTTTATTGTCATACAATTAGCATCTTGTAACGACCCGGCCGGTTATTTTTAGAATTTACGCCCCGATCCCCTATTAACTGCTTTCCCCAAGTTTATTTCTACTATTTTGAATTGCCGGGATGGTCGGTTTTCAATTTCGGAGAGTTTTGGGACACTAAGTCCCTAAATGAGAGCTTAAGTGTTGGAAAGTTGACCGTAGTCGGAACAGTGTGAAGACGGCCTCAGAATTAAAATCCGTTGGTTCCGTAGCTCCGTTGGGTGATTTCGGGTTTAGGGGCGTGGTCGGATTGTGCTTTGGAGGTCCGTAGCTAATTTAGGCTTGAAATGCCGGAAGTTTGATTTTCGAAGTTTCCGGTATAGTGAGATTTTGATCCGAGGGTCGGAATGGAATTTTGAAAGTTGGAATAGCTTCGTAGTGTTGAATGGGACGTGTGTGCAAAATTTCAGGTCATTCAGACGAGATTTGATAGACTTTTTGATCGAAAGCGTATTTTGAGAAATTTGGAGTTCTTAGGCTTGAATCCATGGTTAATTTGAGGTTTTGATGTTGTTTTAGGTGTTTTAAGGATTGGTACAAGTTTGGACAGTGGTATTAGACTTGTTGGTGCCTTTGGTTGAGATCCCGGGGGCCTCGGGATGATTTCGGATGGTTGACAGGGAGTTTTGAGGTATATTGCAGCTGCTGAACTTTGCTGCTTCTGGTATTTCCGCACCTGCGGTTTGGGGACCGCAGGTGCGATGCCGCACGTGCGGAAGAAGAGCCGCAGAAGCGGAAAGAGGGGGAGTCATCAGGAACCACAGATGCGGTATGCCTTTCCGTAGAAGCGGTACCACACCTGCGGGTGGGGAGTCGCAGATGCGGAAGCTGGGCGTTAAGTGATGGGTCGCAGGTGCGACCTTTGTGTAAGGCCCCGGAAAATTTCGCTAAGTAACCTAGGATTTCGTGGTGCCACATAGGCTTATTATAATATTTTATGTGCTATTAACATGGGGTACATCAATTGGATTTGGTAAATATGTGTATAAGTCTTATGGTAAGTATTTGGGGTCCAAGAAAAGGCCTAAGTCTAAGAAAAATTGGAAAAGTTCATAATAGGCTATACTTCAAAATGAGCTTGCACTAGTCCCTACTTTGAACGAGCATATCTAAATATGTATAAGGTTTTATGTGATGAATACCTCTCAAACGAAAGGTCTTCGAGTCTAGTTTCCAATGCTTCAAACCGTTCGTCATTTGGACATTCCTACGCAAAGTTATGATCAAATTACCAAAGGCTGGAAAATGCGATCCCATGTCAAATCTGCGACCGCAAAACCGGTCGCATTTCTGACTTTGCGGTCGCATTTCTGTCGCAGACTGGGCCAGTGTAGCCCAGTTTTGGGTGCCGATTTTGCGGTGCATTATGCGGCCAACATTCTTGTTTTGCGGTCCGTTCTGCATAGCAGACCCGACATCGGAGGGTTAATTTTTAAATTTTTATAACCCGACCCCATTTCAATATATAGGCTTTGGGGTTCATTTTGGGGTCATTTCTTACTGATTTTAGAGAGAGATGAGAGCATATAGAGAGAGAAAGGAGAGGTCTAGCTTCATAATCATCCAAACCTTGCATCAACCTTCAAGAATCAAAGAGCCCATTCATAAGTTCTTCATCCAAGAGAAGATTCTATACATTATGCTTTAATTTCGAGTTTGGGGTATGAGATGGGGTATTGAGGTATGATTCTTGGGTGTAATACTATTATATATACATGCATGTACAAATTAGGATTGTGGGAAGGTTGTTTAGCATAATTAAGTAAAGATTTGGTTGGGAAATGAAGAAAAACTTTGGAAAAGAGATTTGAAACTAAGATGCTCAACTAGTATTTGATAAAATGCTCAAATGAGCTGAAACCATGAATACCTTTCTAATTTGTGTTCAGATGTCTCATAGTAGATTGAAATTTCTAGAATTTCCGGAACGTTGTAGTAACTTAAGGAAAGCTTAAACGAGGTATGTGTGGCTAACTTTGACCTTTGTAAAATCACCTTGTTTGGTGTACAAATATTTGGTATGTGATATCTACGTGGATTATTTGTGAAACTAAATTCTTGTGATTGGTATGTGTTTACTTATGCGGAATATTTGTGAATTCATGTGATTAATGTGCCTTGAACGTTGTTGGTTAAGTCTTCCGATATGATAGTGCAAGTAAATGGCAACAAACCAAATGTGTGTGTGTGAATGTGGTTGTGTGGTAAGAGCTGTGTAACAAATGATGGAAAGGAATCGTAATTGATGCAATTGAAGCAACTGTGGTAATATCATATGTGGCTTATCGTGGGCAATTATCGTTGTGACTTAAATTGTACATTGGGCTGTTGAATAAGATGGAAATGGCATTGATGGTTATGGAAATACTTTGTGAATTGTGCTGCTATTCCTTGAGAATTATTGTTGTTGTCCTTGAGATTCGTTGTTGTTGTTCTTGAGAATTGTTGTTG